TGCTCACATCAAATATTGAGTGGTCAACAACAATTTGTATTTAAGAGATTATGTTAGGAATTAATTAAATTAGGATCCTTAAATTAAATTAAATTATGTGCTCATAAAGAAAAAATATAAAAAAGCTATATATATATATATAGGGTTGGTTCAAATAAAAACTAGTCCTGGTATGAGAACCGTGAGAATCATATTTGGTGCTATTTTTAATTGTGTATGATGCTATTTTTAATATCACATGGTGCTATCATTTTCACAAATGTTAACATAAATTGTGTTGTTATTTTTAATAAAATACATTCATGTTAAAAAGAGCACTAAAACACAATCATAGCACTACATACAATTAAAAATAGCGGTTCTCACGGTTCTCACACCAAGACTTGGTTCTCATTTGAACCACATTCTATATATATATATATATATGTCATATATACTACTATAGAATCAAAGAGTGTATAACGTCTAACTACCACACTAATTTATTTTACCTGAGTTTGATCCAAAAGATGGTGGAACTAGAGATGTTAAATGGCCCTTGGCCCGAGGGCCGGCCCGTTTAGCCCGGAAAAAAATAGGGTTAGGTCCTTTTATTAGTAGCCCGTTTAAATCAGGGCTTTTTAGGCCCGGACCGTTTAGCCCGAAGCCCGCTAGGGCTAGCCCGGAACCCGCTAGGGCTGGCCCGTTTAACTAGGGTTAGGCGGTGTAAATATTTGCATTAAGTAAGTAATATGCTCTTAGATTTCTTGTATATTACAATTTTGCTATTACACTTCACATGTAAGTATGAGTTGTAATGGATTATTATGATTTTGAAAGATAATTATTAACAATTTCGTTATTGTATAAAATACCAAAATATTTAAGCCAATCAGAAGGACTAATAGGAAACACATGAAATATAGTGATAGACGATAAATAGTAAATAGTCGTTGAAAACAATTGTTAGCTAGGTGCTGTTATTTTTTTTTATATTTTACTCTTTTTATTTTTATTTTTGATATATTATTATTATTATTATTATTATTATTATTATTATTATTATTATTATTATTATTATTATTATTATAGCCCGCATAGCCCGTTTAGCCCGAAGCCTGCTAGGGTTAGGGTTAGGTCCTTTTTTTGGTAGCCTGTTTAAATTCAGGACCGTTTAGCCCGATGTTCGCTAGGGCTAGTCCGAAACCGCTAGGGCTAGCCCGTTTAACATCTCTAGGTGGAACCGAACTATTTTATGATGTCATCACAAATATTTTAATAAAAGTACTATCCATAGTAGTTGTAGTCTACAAAATCAACTCATGAGTTGTGTCATATATATGTTGTGTTGTGTCATATATATCACAAGTGAGAATCCCGTGCGATGCACGGGAGTTTTGTATTTGCTAACCATTTTTCAAAACTTTATTTTAACAATATATTAGCCCGCTGACTCGTTTATATTAATATAAATAATATTTTAACATATATATTTATTTTTAAATATTGAAAAGATAATAATTTTACATATTTTGGTTCACCAAAATACTCAAATATTGTTTTATTCACAAATTTTTTTGTCGTATAAGGTCATTAATATTTATAACATTTAAAGAAATAATATTATTTTTTATATAATGATAAATATTTAATGTATATTAATATTATTTATTGATGTAATTAATTTGAAAATATATAAGCAAATTTAATGTTTGTTAGGAATGTAAATATATATAAGGTAAAATAAAATAGAATGTATCCAAAAAATCTGATTATAATATTTTCCTTTAAATGTTTGAATGAATTTGAAATTCAAATTACAAAACAACCTCCAGCTTTTCAAATAATTCTAAAAAAGTTAACAATTGTAGTAAAATCTAAACTTTTAGGTGGGATTTTACTTTCTACTTAAAGTAAATCCCTATTGCTATTTTATAGTAACAGATTTTAATATTTTTTGATAGTTTTGCTTCTTTAGCATTGTGAAAATGTTGGGATGTACAAACTGAGTTTTAAAAATCCGATTTATTATTAAAATATTGTTAATTAAATCAAATTTGATAGTAGGGATTTGAGAATCCTAACAAATTTTAACACTTTGGATTCAAAGAGTCACAAAAAATAGGTAACTCTTTCTTAAATAAGCCATTTGAATCCGAATTTATGTATTTTTTTATTTATTGAAAATCCCATTTGTTATTTAGGCATTTTTTATTTTGTTTTGTTTTGTTTTGTTTTTTTTTTTTTGGTTGATACGGTATGATTTTTCTTGTAATTTCAAAATCTTTAATTAAATGAAATAGTTGGGATTTGAGAATCCTAACAAACTTTAAAGATAAACTAATAATTGTATATTTAATAAATCTGTATTTTAAGTGTCACAAAAAAGATGGTAACTACTTTATCTACTACTAATATCTAAATGTATATTTATTTTTTGAAAACCTTACTGCTTTCATTTGTTGTTAATACGGTATGATATTAGTTCTAATTTCAAAATTTTAATTAAATGAGATAGTTGAGATTGGAGAATCCTAACAAATCTACTACTAAAATTCAGCCACACAAAAAATTGANAAAATTGGATCTGGTTATTTTTGTCCAAACCGATTCCAGTTCCCGGTTCTTTTCTAAATATATGTGTATTAACCGATGAACCGACTGTATATGTATATGTATGTTTTATATCTTCATATATACAAAATCGGTTCCGGTTCTTGGTATGTAATATTCGATTCCTCACTTCAGTTCTCGGTTTTTCATGATACTTTTAGCACGTGAGTTGCAATTTTTTAATCGGTACTTAACTCAAAACCGATTATTGGCAGTTATTTTTTATAAATCGATTACCCGAAGAATCGGAAACACCGAACCGTTATAGCACGGTTCGATTTTTTTTCCGGTTCCTATGAATATTTATGCAATAATTGAACCGTTATTTCAATTCGATTCTGATTTTGGTTCCTGAAAATACGTTAAGAACCGAACCGGTCGCAGGCTTAATATACAGCAATAACTACATATTATGGGCATACACCGACCACCGTGTTGCCCCTCGTCCAATTGCGTGCAACTGTAATTACTATAAACTGTAAACCCCACAAAACAGTGTAAAAATAAAAATCAAAAGTAAAAATATTTGGATGCGGATACCATAAACGCGGGGTCCACGTAGGCACCACGTAATGGAGCCGTGAGTTGGCAGTTATGGGCTCTGTGGGCCGAAAACAGCTTCAGAAGTCTTATTAACCCGTCAAAATCGCATGTGTGGGCCCGGATCCAATGAGGAGAGTGAATGATGCTACCCGCCAGGCTCAATTTGGGTGTTCCACTCCACGCAGCGCACTGGCTACTGATCCCAGTCAATTTTACTACTGCCAGGCACACAGCAATTAACGAACTTACCAGATTTTGCCCTTTTAGTTTTTTTTTTCTCTTGAGGTGGGTCCATCAGAATCAGATGAAGATGACGCCACCAGCATTCAATTTGATCCCTAATGTTGTCCTAACTTTTGGTTTGACCAAAATTAACTTTTCCAACACATTCTAACCTCGATTCATTTCAAATTATGTATATTTGAACCATGATTTGATGTTAGTTTTGTGTTTAGTTTCGAAACAATCCTTGTAAGTTAAATTTTTTAATTGATTGATTCAATTAATTTAGCTGTAATTTAATTTGTATTTTCATCATTAATATATCTTTTTGGAAAAAAAAAAATACACTTGACTATGTGTTGATAAATTTTTCTAACACATTCTAACTTCAAATTCATTTCAAATGATCCATAAATTCAATCGATCTACTTCCTCACAATGCATGTGATGGGTACACCAATAATTATGGTCATACAAAGTCATTTAGAAAGTAAAATCTCTAAACCTAACTTATAATTGGGGGATGGATTCCCTTAATACATAAGCCATAAAAATATTGATTCTTAATCCCCCATATGTAATTCACCCTTCTCGTAGTTACTTTGAGCCTTGTTCTCTTTTTTTTTTTGGTAGCCAGCCAGGGTATCCGGAGCTATGTCCCGACTAATCCGTTGGTCGACTCGGGTCGCACACCTGACAATGGTGGGTGAGTCTCCCAATAAGGGTTTTCTGCATCTACAAGGACTTTAACTCGAGACCTTGCTTAAGCGACATCAAGCTGCTTACTACTTAAGTCAACCCCTGTTCTTCTCTTTGGTTCATTGTAATGTAGGTGACTTGTAATGAGAATTGTGTTGGAATAAAAAAGATTTTAATTAAAATATTTTAAAACGTCTGGTACTTTTTGGACCTGAAAAATGAATTTAAAAGAACTTCAATTTCACCTTATTTACCCAACGAACTGATGATAAGTTTTGTCGTACTTGTCTAGCAAAATCAAGTTGAAACAGATCTAGCCTACACATTTGACAACTCCACAAAAAAGTAGAACTTCCTAAAACTCGTCACCTTTTTTTAAGTCATTGTACAAAATCAGAAGCTAAAAAAATAAACGTGCCATATAAGGGCAATCCCATTTTATATGCACACTCCTACACAAATGAAAAGAATGAAGAATTTTTCGATTCAATACACATCGACAGAAAATCATATATCGTTTTGTGTCTCCTAAAAACGTAAATTTTCCAACACAACTAAGTACACAAACCATCCCTCCAACTTTTCTAACTAAAATAAAGTCATTATTCCTCAAAGCCACCAACCCAAAAAAGGGTCACCTTGAAAATATAAGCTAAACCCCACTCAAACTAATTTAAAATCCATCTAAATTAACTAAAGATCAAACTGATTAAAAAAATGCCTAAAAAAAACTAGCAATTACAATAATAATAAAAGAAAATATTAAATAGACCACCCCCACCCCACCCCCACTCCCCAAACTCTAAAATAATACAATCAAGACTTTGGCCTATGATTTGAAAATGGCCCCATTTTCTAGACTTAATTAATCCCAACCCACCCATCACATGCATAACTCTATTTAAACCCCCTTTCTTCTCCTCATTTCTCAAACACATTCCAAAGCACAACTTCAAAAACCACAAAAGAATCAAAAAACTTACAACAAAATTTCATTCTTCTCTCCACAATCAAACTAAAATATAAAAGAAGAACAAAAAAATTCACTCCCAAATCCCAAAAAACTCCAACACAAATGTTTAGCTTCACCGACACCTCCGACCTCTCCCGCCGGTGCGTCTGGGTCAACGGTCCCGTCATCGTCGGCGCCGGCCCCTCCGGCCTGGCCGTCGCCGCCGGCCTCCGCCAGCAAGGCGTCCCCTTCGTCGTCCTCGAACGTGCCGACTGCATCGCCTCCCTCTGGCAAAACCGCACCTACGACCGCCTCAAACTCCACCTCCCCAAGCAATTCTGCCAGCTGCCGGACTTCCCCTTCCCCGACCATTACCCGGAATACCCTTCTAAACGGCAATTCGTCGAATACCTTGAATCCTACGCCGCCACATTCCAAATCCATCCCCAATTCAACGAGTGCGTCCGCTCCGCCAGGTACGACCCGACCTGCCGCCTCTGGAGAGTCCAGACTCCGGCGGCCGAGTACCTCTGCCAGTGGCTGGTCGTCGCCACCGGAGAGAACGCCGAGCACGTTGTGCCGGAGATCGAGGGTTTGGGGGAATTTTCCGGCGAGGTCCTCCACGCGTGCGACTACAAATCCGGCGAGGGTTTTAGGGGGAAAAAAGTGCTCGTCGTGGGCTGCGGAAATTCCGGCATGGAGGTCTCCCTCGACCTCTGCAACCACAACGCTCAGCCATCCATGGTTGTTCGAAGCTCGGTGAGTATCAACCATGAACTAATATTTGATGTGTATTTTCAATTTTGTATTTGTATTCGAAAATCTGAAGGTGTTTTTTCTTTTCTTTTTTTCTTTTTGGCCAGGTCCATGTTTTGCCGAGGGAGATTTTCGGAAAATCGACTTTCGAGCTAGCCGTGTTCATGATGACGTGGCTGCCATTGTGGCTAGTGGACCGGGTCTTGCTGGTCCTGTCATGGATGATCCTGGGGAACACCGAGAAATATGGGCTCAAGAGGCCCAATATCGGCCCACTACAGCTCAAGAACACTCGGGGGAAAACCCCTGTTCTCGATATAGGCGCATTGGCAAAAATCCGGTCTCGAGAAATCAACGTAGTCCCGGGAATTAAGAGGTTCACGGGCAGCTCAGTCGAACTTGAAAACGGGCAGAATTTGGAAATCGACTCAGTTATTCTTGCCACGGGGTACCGTAGCAATGTGCCTTATTGGCTTCAGGTGAGAATTTTTGTTTTATGCTATTAGAACATAAAGAAAGGTGCAATCCAAGTTTTTTTCTCCCCAACTAATTGATTTTTTTGCTATTTATAGGAAACCGAGTTTTTCGCGAAGAATGGATTTCCGAAAACGCCCTTCCCAAACGGGTGGAAAGGAAAGGGCGGATTGTACGCGGTGGGGTTCACGAGGAAAGGGCTATCGGGTGCTTCGGCTGATGCCGTGAAAATATCGAGAGACATTGCCAAAGTTTGGAAGGACGATTTGAAGCAGAAGAAGCAGAAAGTGCCGACTCATCGGAGGTGTATATCCACGTTTTGAACTCATCGGGATTCCTTTCTATTTTTGGCAAATATGACTATACAGTATAAAAAAATGAAAATATATAAATATGTAAAGAATATACAAATAGAAACNTCAGTTAAGATTATCTGGGATCAACTGATCAAGTGGAATTTTGTTCTCATAAACTCTATGAATATTCAAATACTGACCTACTGGTTTGTATAATTTGCAATTAATAAAAATATCAATAATAAATAATAAGCACTACAAGAATAATAGCTGAATGATTTCAACTCCATTTTTATTTTCTTTTTGTAAAAACTTTCAGTTTCTGAAGTGAAAATGTCAACTGCTAGTTTACTGATGGTAATTTAATGTCAAAACAATCAAGAGAAAATGACCACCTCTTTAATGTCAACTGCTAGTTTACTGATGGTAATTTAATGTCAAACAATCAAGAGAAAATGACCACCTCTTCAATGTCAACTGCTAGTTTACTGATGGTAATTTAATGTCAAACAATCAAGACAGGAGGGAATGCCAGCCAGAATTTTTTTTTTCAAGTTTTCAGTTACAAAATTTTTTATATGAGGAGGTCTAACCGTTAGGCAGACCAACCTGAAATATTTTTTTAAATATATACTAGTGTTATGAAATATCATTACTTTTGTAAATATTATTTTCCAAAAGTACAACATTTCGTTCGAAAGTATGTATATTTATTCAAAAAATAAGTTGTTTAATCGTTAGACCTTCCTTACATCGGTCTTTCTAAATTAAATCGGTACATAGCTATAAAATTCAACTAGGAAAATCCATCAATCAATTTCATTTTATTTTACTTTTTTGACTTTTTTTCTCCTCTACTGAATTGGTAATCCACATCATGAGTCTAATATATCATGCATTCATGCTTTTAATAAGCCATATTTAACTTGTTGATGTTTTCATTTGCTCATTATATTTATCATGTATTATTTCATTCTCCATTCAATGCACCAGTGGAAAAATGGTCCAGCATTTTATCATAAAATTGGGACTGTTTATATATAGTATTCATTCTTTTGTTATCATTTTCACTGAAAATAAACTCACGGGAACTGATTACAGCTTTCTCTTCATCATGATATCTAAGTCACTCAACTCATTACATCATAGTTTTAATAAATTGACATACCTTTACTGTGGAAAAAATAAAATTGGCATACCTTGGTTATTGAAATGTCGTACTTAAGAATAGTATTTTTAATATAAATAAAACTATGATATTTTATCGTGTGTAGAAATATTTATATTTATTAAAAAAATTATGACAAGTCGATCTGTTTAACTGTTATGCTAAACGTGATTTGGTAAAAAACTGCCTCTGTGGATGTATAGCTTACTTCCCAAATTCTTATGCCATAACCAAAATAATTTCATCTCTGTGTCACGGTGTGGATAACCTGAAATTCAGACCGACTGACTGCACAATTTTTTTCACATGCAATTATTCATGTTC